GACCAGACAGAAGTCATCAGGCCCTGCTTTACACTTTCAGGTTAATTTGGTTGATTTACTCATTACAGTACTTGTGTTGACTGCGTTACAGGGTTGTTTGTTTGTATTTTGTTTGTTTTTGGGKKTTWTTTTTGTGAGCATAGCACTGAGAAAGGTTAAATGACATGGGATATGACACATCCTCTGTTTTGTTTGTTCCACAGGTAAGAGAAGTTGCAGATGGTCATCCTGGTGTTCATGCTGCACAAGATTAGACCTGTGGATTTATTGCACATCTCCCGGTAAAACTCTGCAGAAGTGACACTGTCCTGATGAATCAGTCAAGCAAACCAGAGGGAGGTGATTTCTGGAAATAGCWCGTTTTCGGTCTCCTGCTGACTCAGCAGGAATGACACATCGTTCTTTGGTGAACGATTGGAATTCTGCACTTTAGTTTCACAGACTCAAATACATGTACATGTAATAGACAGCAGCACTGTGCTGTATCAGACAGAGGTTGTGGGGTTTGTGCCCCCATCCCACTACAATATTTTCCCCTGTGAGGGGAGACCACTATGTGCCAGCATTGCTTGTGCCTGTGCATTTGCTTAAAAGGGATGTTTCTGTGTTAATAATATATTGACAATGTAATTTTCTCATTATAGCATAAATAATAACATTTTAAGCTGGATTTGTAATTTCTAATTTTCATCTCCATATATGTTTACATGCACTAAGTCATGTTGATGGAAATGTGGCTAATAGAGAAAGAAAGGCCAACTGCTCGTTGAGATTTCTGCTAATTTATGTAGAATGTTAGGATTTATAAGAGGCAGTATTTTCGAATATATGAGCATTTAAATAACACAACGTTAAGATCGCGCTAGTTTGTACATTATACATAACTATACTTATTACTCAAGTTAGTCTTCCAACCATTGTGCCTCAGCTTTTTTTGAAATAATGTGCATTAGAACAAAAGCTGATATTAATGTTAACTATAAGAACTTTTTTTAACAACAAAAAAATGGATTTCACTGTAAATAAAATTACTAATCTTTCCAAAGAGTCTGCGTTGTCTGTCTGTTAGCAAAGCATTTTATTAGGACAGTTTTTATGAAATACACAGGAAATACTCAGTGGCTGTACCTTTACCACTGATTAGCTTTTGAGGCTGATTTATTTCAAGACATTTAAAAAGTTTCCCTGGTAGTTGAGTAAAATTGAGCTGGTTTGCATCTCTCAAGGAAAAGTTTACCATATTATTTCTCAATCATTTTTATAATGTTAATTAACGTGCTCCTTTTAGTGCGATAAACAAACACGCATTCGATTTCTAAATTCCACAGTGCGACTTGTTTACAACTCTTGACTTGAACTCGTGCAGCTTTACAGCCTGCCTGAGAAATTCTTTGTTTATAGGAGCAACATTTTTAAACTTGTTGGGGGAATTTTGTTGCGTCTCTGTGTGTGAGGGACAAACACAAAACAAGGAGTGAAAAAAAAAACTTGTTTTGCCATCTTTGACCCAACACGGTATAATCCACTCCTGCTGCTCACAGGCAAAAGGGAAGCATGTCGGAGATGCAGGACGTGCAAAGAGGAAAGCTGCTCTGTAGATAAGAGGGGTGTTGCACGGAAGCTCCGAGACTCTGATGTAACTGTTATCAAGAGCAAAACTATTTATTCAAGCAAGTCCAACCAAGTCAAGTTGAAAAATGTTGTTTATTCTCCCTCAGACACTCATTTCCTCTCTTCATTCTATGTTCAAACCTTGGTGGGGCTAAACAGAGAGCAGGGAGACGAGCAAGTCATGGGAGGGGTGGAAAATGAAAGCCTAAGATTTGAATAAGAACAGGAGTCTTTACTTACAGCTGACTTTTCTTGCCCTGTCGAAGCCACAGAGTAGAATTTATGCCAAAAACAGGCCAAAACAAAGCTCATCAGGGTTAGTTTGATATGGTGGAGGTGGACTTAAACATGGCAGGTTTCAGCAGTGCCAATGAGGAGAATCTGAAGGAGAATCAGGACCATGACCACCCAAAAGTAGACGTGGAAAGCCAGCTGCAGCACACGCAGCGAGACGTGCTGTGTGACTCCTGCATGGACAGCCCCAGCAAAGCAGTCAAATCCTGCCTGACCTGTCTGGTCTCCTACTGCGACGCCCACCTCAGACCACATCTGGAGAAAGCCAAGTTTCAGACTCACACTTTGGTGGACCCCCTCCATGAGATCGATGGCCGGATCTGCGAGGTCCATCGCCTTCCCTTCACAAGCTTCTGCCTTCAGGATGGCTGCTGTGTGTGTCTGGACTGCGAGAGTCAGGAGCACGGAGGGCACCAAACCAAGACTTTGGAGGCGGCTCGGGCACAGATTGAGGTCATAAAAATTGTTGTTTCTCTCTGTGGCAACTTTAAATATTGTTTTTTATGCTCCGATTTGTGAAACCAACTCGCTGTTTGTGACCGTTTGCAGAGCGAGCTTCTGCAGAAACACAAAGACGTCAATCAAAGCGTCTCTGATGTAGAGMAAGCGATTGAGAAACTGCAGAACAACAGTGACCTGATTAAGGTAACTTTAAAGTAAACACTGACATRAAGATTTTCACTGATYTGAGYGTATTCCATATCAGGCTTCAGCGCAGGAGGTTTGTGCTGTTATTGAACAGCAGTTCAGCAGGCTGCAGGCGGCCGTGCAGGAGGCCAGGAAAAGGGTCGAGCTGGTGCTGGAAGGAGAGCAGAACCTGGCTTGCAGACAGACGGAAGGCATTCAGGCTCATCTGGAGCAGAGGAGAGCCGAGCTGGTGAAAACATTGGCTGAAATAAGCAAACTGTCTGAGAACAAGTCTGACGCCGACTTTCTGAAGGTACGAACAACGGAAAACGCTTGTAAATGAAAGAAACGGCATTTTCTGCGTGAATGCAGTGAGTGCTGAGTGACTTTGCTGAATTTTATTGAAGAACTTGAAATGRCATGAGAGTGCAATTATAGCCGAAGGAAGCAAAACATGAGCATGAGTAGTTTAATTGCAAATTAAAAAAGAAAAAAAATCCAAAGTAAACCTGTGTGTAACAAAACAGCACTGCCTGCATCTGACATCTGTCAAAACTAAACAGGTTACAAAAACTGCTAAAAATACAAAGACTTAAACTAAAGACAAAATGTTTCTTTTCAAGCTTTTTTTTTGTTAAATTATATTTAGAATATGTACATTTTTAATTTTCTTCTTCAGTTTCTGTTTTTTCAATGAGGTTTTATAAYGGAATGACTAAATACACTTAAGCTTAAATACAGTGTTGTATAAAGTACCTCAAAGTGATACTTGAGTAAAAGTACAAGTATCTTATCATAAAAATACTTTGCTAAAAGTTAAAGTCTTCTCTAAAAATATTACTTGAGTAAAAGTCTTAAAGTCTCTGATATTTTTTGTACTTAAGTATCAAAAGTAAATTTCTGACACAAAATCTWCTTAAGTATTAAAAGTAAAAGTACTGAGTAAAAGTGAACAGTTAGATTTTCCGAWATGACATTTATTGGGAGGTGACTTCTCCAAAAAATATATTTTCTTACGRCRTGCAGCTGTGATGGGTTGTGTACAAGCTCATACTGTGTCAGAATGGTATATATTTGTACTTCTCATCCAACCACAGTGAAATACACTCTATCCAGGAGACACAGTTTTTCAGGATAGTATTTTTTTAAGTAATACAGACTCAGAATAAAATAGGAGTAACGACTTTCTACTTCTTACCTTTTTTAAAACTGTAGTGAGTAGAAAGTACAGATAATTGTGTAAAAATGTAATGAGTAAAAGTAAAAAGTACACTGAAAAAAATTACTCAAGTAAAGTACAGATAACCAAAATKTCTACTTAAGTACAGTAACAAAGTATTTGTACTTAGTTACTTTACAACTTTGCTTAAATACTCTTAATTTATGCCAACATTTGAACATTTTAAAGATGTCTACATTGATGATGAAATTGAAAATATATATATTTTTGGCGTGTACATAATGTAATTCTAATAAAGTGATCAAATATATAAATTTTATTAGCAATTTAGTCATAAAAAAATGTTTCACTAACTTTACTAATGTGATGTAAAGTTACAGAGTCCAGTCAGAATCAGAGTCAAATGTTTCATATTGGAATGGACTGGTACAAGAAGTTCTCCAAAATAAGAATTAATCCAGGATGAGGGTGTGTTGATAGTACATACTTCACTGGACATAAGTCCTGGTTCARAGAAAATACGCTTTCTTGCTTTTCACAGCTTCGTTTCACGTCACAAACCAGTTACAAGTTACATTTGCATTTCCTGTCGCGCTTCAGGGCTACTCGGAGTGGGAGAAAGGAGTGGCAGATGTGTGTGCGCCTGCTGTGCGCGTCGACCGGACGGATTATCTGCTCTCATACGGCCAAGCAGTGGCTGACGTTACGCAGGAGCTGTGTGACCTGGTTTCACATTCCTACGGCCAAGAAATGAGCCTGATGTGCAAAACTGGTAACTAGTTTCCCATCAGTTTACCTCACATCTCCTGACTGCATGCGTATATGAGAGAATGATAAAGTTTGGACTGTTGAAAAAATATGCTACAACCATATAATTTGTTGTTCTAGAAAGATTTGATGTTCTTGTTTTGTTTTAACTAAAGATTACTGTGGTTTGAATTGAGGAAAAAAGGGACAGATATAAGATTTTTATTCTTCTCTCTGCTTCATTTCATTTCATTGTATTTGTATTTTTTATTGTAGATAAATTTGGGTTTTTTAATGACATGAATAAAGTTAAACAATAAACAATATTATTGTTTGAACAGGCGTAAAGACCACGATGACCGAAACTCAGCTTTCATCCCTGCCTGACCCCGAGACAAGAGAAGACTTTTTGAAATGTAAATACTTTCATATTATAATCTGTTTTCTTTCAGTCAGAGCTAAAYAACCAACTGCATTTCCTGTTTCAGTCAAAAAGAGTTTGACCTTTGACCCGGACACCACCCATCATTTTCTACGTAGAACAGAGGACGACAGAAAGCTGACCAACACCAGCCCCTGGCAGCACAGCTACCCTGACCACCCCGGTCGCTTTGAACACTGGCGTCAGGCCCTGACCTCAGAGAGCCTTTACTTAGGAAGACACTACGTTGAGGCAGAGCTGAGCGGGGAGGGTGCACACGTCGGTGTCGCCTACAAGAGTATAGATCGTAAGGGCGAGCAAAGTGGCAACTGCATCACTGGGAGCGAGTCTTCTTGGTGCGTAGGGCGAGACGGCCGGGGGGTCTCTGCCTGGCATGCAGGTGAGGCGACAGCTTTGGAAGTCACTGACCTCGCCAGAATCGGTTTGTATCTGGACTTTGAGCGGGGGTCTCTGTCTTTCTACGGCGTAACAGCCCACATGCAGCTGCTGCATACTTACATCACTAACTTTACAGAGCCCCTTTATGTAATAGTTTGGTTATCAAAGAAAGACAATGTTGTTTCTTTGGTTTAATTTGAAATGAGATTTAAAGGGATCCCCGATTAGTTGTAACATTAGACTTTATTTGATAAACACCTATTTTAACTGTAAAATAAAGACTGTAAAATTACTGTAGGATGTTTAGTTTTTATAATTTTTAAACTAAAAGTTTAAAAATATATTACACGGACGGGGCCATTTTATTTACATGCAAAGCATTCTGGGTAAATGATGACGTGGATAGGTCCACGTTGTGAGGCTGCTAGCGAGCTATATCCACCCTGAAGGTTAATCTTGGACAATATCTGATGATCGACTCTTTTAAATGAAACCAGAGAGCGTTGACAGAGAGGAGAAGGTAGAAATGACTCAGCCTGTAACTGAAAATATRGATGGAGGACAACAGAGCTGCTTCATGGAAGAAGAACCTCAGCTTAGCCTGTTAGCTTTAGCGTTAGCCCCGACGCTATCACCATATATGTACTGTATTAGCTCAGTGCTACACATTCTCTCGTCACTGAGGTCCTCCATCCTCATAACAGAGAGGGGAACATAAAAATGACTCAGCCTGCAACTGAAAATATGGTTGGAAGACCCCAGTTTAACTTGTTAGTTTGTCACGCTAGCGCTGAGCTAACACATATAAGGCAATATAACGTGAGAGCTAGCGCAAAGGCTAACAGGCTAAGCTGAGGTTCTTCTTCCATGAAGCAGCTCTGTTGTCCTCCATCTATATTTTCAGTTCCAGGCTGAGTCATTTCTACCTTCTCCTCTCTGTCAACGCTCTCTGGTTTCATTTAAAAGAGTCGATCATCAGATATTGTCCAAGATTAACCTTCAGGGTGGATATAGCTCACTCACACCAAGGACCTATCTGTGTCATCATTTACCCAGAATGCTTTGTGTCTAAACAAAATGGCTCCGTCCGTGTTAAAATATATTTTTAATAATTTAAAAAACTACACAGCCTACAGTATTTTTACAGTCTTTATTTTACAGTTACAATATGTTTATCAAATAAGTCTAATATTACAACTAATTGGGGATCCCTTTAAAAATCTTCTTGTGAAAAGATAGTACCATAAATGTTTATAAAAGATCCGTGACAAAGACAAGATGTTGCACAAATGCCAGATTTTTCTCATGTATGTCAGTGAAGATTAAATTTACTGCCATCTAGTGGCACYTGTGCACAGTGTTTCCACTGCTTTGCAACCATTCCACTGCTCTTAAAACACGGTCCAACATAAACAAGAAAAAGAGAACACCTATAATTCACAGTTTATTTGTCCTCAAAGTTTATTTGRTAATTAAAAATGTTATCGTCTGACTACAATTTATGATCATTGACAATGTTCAACTGCTATAAACCCATGAACTGCAAAGTCCTCATACTAACGCAAGTTAACATTTCATCTGTGATGCGTGTGAAGGTCAGCTTTAAACTGAAAAATCGGACGGATTCTCATCATAAACTGGATTTACAAAGTGCACACCTGTGCTAGTCATGGCGATGGTGTTACGGTCAGACTCGTACAGGCCGGGAATGTCACTCAGCATGTCGGGTTGATCAAACATCGGGTTATCGAAACCGTGATTAACCCCCCCGCTGCTGTCTCCAACAACCGGGTTCCTCCTGAAGGAGCTCAGAGATGGCACTGAAGGCATGGGTGGYATTTGCACCACACCCTTCCGAATCAGCACGACGAAGAGAAGGATGAGTGTGATCAGAACCAAAGCTGTGAACACAACTCCAACCACCATCCCTGCATTGGTTTTAGGAGTGCTGGTGTTCCCGGAGGAGGCTTGAAATTCAGCCTTTGTGATTCCCAGATTAGAGCCGTGAGATTGAGCATCGTTTATGATGTTCTGGGCCAGATCCTCTGACAGTTTCCCCGTCTCTCCATCCACAATGAGCACCTGGATCTCAGGTGAGGTACCAAAAGGGATCACCCCCATTAAACGCTGCGGCTTTAAGACTTTCGACATGCCCAGCTGGATGGACGCATATTGTGGCTGGGTGAGAAAAAGGTGTTTGATTCGGTCCCTGTAACTCTGCAGGTTGAAGCCTTCAGCATAACTGATGGTAATGATGGCACCACACACGTGACAGCAGTGTCCCACGGGAAGGAGAGGCATTTTACAGCTTGGAGAGGCACAAGTCACTGAGCTACAAATCCTCTGATGGTTCACAGAGTTCCCACAGTCGCAGCCGGTGGGATCCCCGCAGCCTGGGTTTCCAGCTGTGACAGCTGAGGACCCGTGAAACTGCAGGTGGCCCGAGCTCGAGCTGAGATACTGGGAGAACTCAGACCTGCTGCTGAACACCTCCCCGAGCACAGACACAGATTTGACGGGGATGGTGGACTGGCCGCAGCTGGTGTCCACGCGGAAAGAGGAGAGATCTTTGAAAACGACGTCATCGTGCTGACAGGGCACGCTCTCCTCGTGCACCGCGAACAGGAAACTTCCGTGCTGCAGGTCATTCAGAGTGGCAGCGGCCTGCCACAGAGCCGGATCGAACCACTGAAGAGAGTCGGAATCTTTGAACATGGCTCTCACGCCTGCTCCACAGCCGGGGTCTTGACCGACGTAAAATCCAGCCCCTGAATTCAGTATGAGCTCTCCGTCGACGGGCAGCAGCAGGTCCTGCACAGCATGAGTGATCTCCACGAACACAGACACTTTACCCTGAGCCGGAAACTGAACTGTGTCGCTGCCACACGGAACATCTCCCTTGTCCCAGTTGGTTTTGTTCTCATAGTTGGTGTCAGGGATCCACTGTTTGTAAAGAGCCTCCGTTGCCCCAACAAGGCAGACGAGCAGGAGCRCGTGTGGTGCTTTCAGCATCTTGAGAGTTGTTGACGAGCAGAGGCGAGATTCTGTGATCTTTGACCCCCAGACTTGTGATCAACACAGGGGCAAACTGCTGACTGGCAGACTTCATGCAGCTGATCTGTAAAAGATTTACATCATCTGCATCAACACACCTACTGTAAAATCACTTATAACACAAATAAATACACACCTATTGCAAATACACATTTATTTATTTGTATTTGTATTATTGCAAATACACATATAAATTCCTATATATTTGTCTATACAATGCTTCTTATATCTTTTGAAAGCCTGTTAATTTGCCTTTTAAGTTGTGCCACATTTGTAAGGATCATGCATTTGCGGRATGAGCAGTAGAGCTGAGTATGTTGGTTGCGCACATGAAAGATTTGCCAAATCTTCTCTGCCAAACAGCTYATTTTGCTGTTATTGACACTTGTGTTGAGCTTCTGGTAGCCAGTCAGGTGCCAGGTACAAGATTTATTATCAAGAAGCATTGTTGCAAAGAAATAATCTACCAAACACGCATTCCCTTACTTTTTGTGCTGAATTTCTTTGGCAATATGCATTCCTTCCAGGACTTTTAGACCATTAAGTTCTTTACAGAATTTTTTTTATTCTTCCTTTATAATAAAATAAATGTACGGCCTATCTTTAACCTATTAAATCATAATCAGTGTCAAGAACTCATTTGGATTTGTGCTGATGTGGATACATTTAGTACAACCTTTAAGTTTGATGAAAACAGTGTAATTCAGGCATCGTGTCAAAATAAAAGTATCTCACTCAAATAACTCATCACTGAATTGTTTTATTGAAGCTGATCAGTACATAAGCTACAAAGCTCACCTTCGTTGTCAATCGGTGTAGATCCTCCAGTCATCTGAAGATTTACACACTGAATCTAAACTTAGTAAACTGTCATTTCAATTGTCACCAAAGTACATGAGGTTTCACCTTGAACAAATCCTATAAATGTTTCTGAGAAGTGGACTAGTATAAACACACGCCCCTGTTGAACTCAGACTCCTTTTTTTTTTTTTACCTCCGAGCTTCATTTGTACTAAAAAAAAAAGGATGCAAGAACAACAGATCTTGTTAAACATAAAAATCAGTTTGTAAAGAACAAGAAACAACTGAGAAAAAGAAATTGTAATTGCATATTTATATCTCAATTTATGGCTGTGGAACATACTGTATATCCATATGTGATTTAAATGTATCTGTATTAATAAACTTAGCTTACTTTTATGTTAAAAAAAGATTATTTCTACTGGGTCTCATTTTCTGATAAATAGACATAGGAAGTGAATAACAGGTATGAGAACTAATGGGTTTATAACAAGTGATTATGATATGGCCAGTATACTTTGTGCTCACAATAAGTCCAGTTAAACACAGCAATATAAAGATGATAGGTGATGATCCAGTGTTTTATATACATACAGCTTTAAGTTTACACTTTTCTAAAATGTAGCAACCACATYTTGAGTTACTTGCAAAGTTTTCTGAGAACTTTCAGGTCATCGACACACTGCAGTCGACGCCAACCTTTCTGTTTACAGCAAACACAAGTGTCAGTCAASAAGGAGAGAAAATCTTATATTGTATTCTTAGTGTGACGGTTGCTCCATAAAAGTCTTTGACTCAAACTCATCTGTCATCCAAAGACGTCAGTGGCATGTAGGAATAGATTGAAGCTGGCGTCTGATTCCATCACTAAGAGACAGGAAGGTCTGTGTAAATAATATTATTGCTTTATCGATCAAATAACCATGCATACAGAAAGGAATAACTGTTGATATTTAAAGGCGACTAAAAGATCTGTGTAGTATCTTTTCCATGAAGTCGGCAAATATTGATATTTACAGTTACAAGGATTATCCCTTTGCCCCCAAAGTCTGTAAAACACGGTCAAGACAATCAATACAAGCTTGATGATAGATTTCAGTGCAAATTTTGTGCATCCATATTAAAAAATAAATGATTTCCTACGGATGAAAATCTTTTGAAAATGCTTTGGTTTATGTGGATTTTCAAAGACCTCAAGGCACATGTCAAACTCAAGGCCTGTGGGCCGAATCTGGTACCTATTACCATTTTATCTGACCCCAAAAGGAAATACTATCTTCACTGGTGCCCACATAGGTGCGAAGGGCAGAGTAAAACCCTGGACAGGTTACAAGTCCATACAAAGACAGTCATTCATGTTCTTGCCAGTTAGCCTAACAGTCAGGTTTCTGRTCTGTGGGAGGAGACCAGATTACCTGGAGAAAACCCACACATGAACAGAGAGAACATGCAAACTCTATTCTGAAAGGTCCCCAGATGGTTTGATCCAGAAACTTCTTGCTGAGAGGTAACAACTCACAGGAGTGTTAAACTCAGTTAGGTGAGTGTTTGTTTGTCTCATTTGTCTCTGTGTGGCTCTGTGATGGACTTGTGACCTGTCYAGGATGTACCCCTCCCCTTGCATAGTCACTGATGGATATGTGCACCAGTGACCCTGAATGGAAGAAGCCRGTAAATATCATGAATGGATTCTCTTTATGTTCACTCCAGTCCTAATGGTATGATGCCCTCTAGAGGCTAACATGTGAACGTGTCACCTTTATTTAGTTTTTCTTCTTATTGCTGCAAACTTTCACCTTCAGATGAAAACACAAATGATCAACACAGAATTCATTGATTCATTTCAATATATATTTTCAATACATTTCCAGGAAAATACACTTTTTCTGAATTAAGCAGGTCAGAACTGCAAGCTAGATCAAAAACAAATGCATCTTTTACATAAAAACGTCTTTACTATTGTCCTCAAACGTCACATGAACTACAAATCAAAACCAAACAGATAACGAAGAAAGGTTCAAGTTCACTTTAAAGCAAGWACAATAAATAATATGAAACACGACTACTTCACCATCCAAGCTTGTTACACACTTACTGTAGCTCTGATGGAAAAGATCACATCCTCAAAGACAAAGATAAAAGTTAAATATTTTTTTTCCTATTTCACTTCTAAAACAGCTGCATTTTTTTTTTAGCAAACGCTCCAGTCGTTTCGTTGCTTCAGCAAACATTCAGCCGTCTTGAGGTCTCAAATGTACAAACACAGTTGCTTATGAACGTCACTGATGATACTTTTCATTTCTCCAAGTGCAAGGGGGCAAAAATCAAAATGAGCAGGAAGGTTGAACACAGTGAGGTTTACCAGGAAACCAGCTGATGCTGAAGAAAGAAGGAACCCTGGATCCACAGGTCTGATTGTTTTTTTTCTTCCCAGTCTTAAAGCTTCTTGTTTACATCCTCTGGATCTCAAAGAGACGAACATCTGTGTCATACCAGATGGGAGGATCCACATTGCTAAACAACAACAACAACAACTTGTCAGTTTTAGTTTAAACTTTTAAAAAAATCATATTCTAGCTAAATTACCGCAAATAAACGACTCCCCACATGTAGGTGCGAAACCACATGGCAGTGCCAGCGTTGGCCTGATACTTTCTGATCAGGATGGGGTGAGGAACGGGCAGCAGACCCACTAATGTGCCGTGCTGCAGGAACTTCAGGATCTCAGATTCATCCGTCAGGCCTCTGGGGTGAAACAGAAAGCAACATTTCAGCAGCGTTTCACTCATTAATGAGCAACAATAAAGTTTCTGCAACAGGAAGGTAAATAAAACCAACTTGTCAATGCAGATTTTCTCCACCTGGGGAACCAGCACTTGTAGAAGACGCATAATTGTCTGCAGAGGCAACTTGCACTTCCAAGACAAGATCTGGATAAAATAACATTTTAATGCTTACCATAGCTGATATCAAATATTTGATGAGACCAAAAACAGAGAAAAAAAGCAGAATATTTTACTGACCCACTCTGGTGTCGGAGCCCATAATGAAGTTGAAGAGGCACTCGACAAACGTCTTCTTTCCATTTCAGCTTCAGTGTAGAAAACGTCCTGTTTTTAAAGAGAAGAAGCAGTTTAATATTTTTTTTATTTTGGGAAATACATGCAGAAAAGAAGAATAAATTTACTTCATTGTCTCTTCCGGAGTTGGACTCGGTGTCACTGGTTGCTCCGGCTGCACTTTGGTCTGACTGGGCTGTGGCTGGGGAGTCCATCTTTGGGACTGACACCATGGTGCCGTCCTCTGATACCTGRGACTTTTCTGTCAGTTTGTCAATTCCTGAAAGAAGGCGAGACGAGCAGATGGATCAGAAAAGAAATCATCAAACAGGAACTTTCAAATCGCAGCTTTTTGTCTTATGAAATAAATGATTTTACCAAATGTATTTCAAAGCAGCTGAGCATCTGTCATCTTGTATCAAGCTCAACTTAAAAAAAAAAACACTTGACACTCAAAACCTAAAGCAACTTTTTGTTTCGTACCTGGTATAGCGACTAGACTGGCCTTGAGCGTGCCAGGCTCTGCCGGTGCTGCAGGATGAGAGCCCTCCATGGACACCGTCTCCTGGGAGCTAGTGCGGGAAATTGTATCCGGCGACTTCTTCTTCTTCTGCAAGGCCTTTTGGATTGTAGCGGGGTCGGAGGGCAGGTTGGCCAGCTGGTGGAACACATTACGCTTGCGGATGATGGCGTAAACCAGGCTGCAGTTTCCTGCGAAATACGGACAAAACCTGAAAAACTGCTTTGATAAAAATAGAAATTCCGCAGCGTTGGCTTACCATCAAACTGGTACTGGATAATATTGTTGAATGCCTCGAGAAGAAAAAAAACAAGGTGATGGTTCTGGGCGACAGAGAACAGGAACCAAGTTGTGGAAAAGGCCTCGAGGAGGTGGAGCAGTTTATTGGCAGCCACCATAGACAGGCTCTTCAGGTAGGGGGAAACTGAACAGGCCAGAGGAAAAGAGTGTTCCACATGTTCTCAATGGAATAAAACAAACGCAAATAAAATCATAGCATTCACTGAAGAGACTCCTAGCCCACAAAAAATGAATTTAATGGCTAAAAAAATGGATATTGCACAATGTGTTTCCTTTAAATTACCTGATGTGAATGACTCAAATCAAATCTCAGCTAAATATCTGCAAATTTCACAAATTCATATAATTGTTTCTGTTGGCTCAGGTTGATTAGCTGTGGCCRCCATCTTGAGTTGAGTTGGCTCCAAAAATTAATTGGCTGTAGGTATACATCCAATAATTACCTTCTGAAGGTTTCATTAAAGGCGCTGTCACACCATTGTAAGAATATTTTGCGTTTGTTAACTGAAATCGTGACAAAACCACATAAATATATTGAATCGATAAAAATGTGAAGAGAATAGACCATACAATCCCAGATCTGGTTCTGAGCTATGCTTTATTGCTTA